TTTTTTTTTTTTGCATAATCCAAAACCAAATTGGCTCCTAACAATTTACACATTTACACTTTTTGGCATTAAACAACAATTACAAGATAAGAAAAAAAAAAAATTGAGAAAAAAACAGACATCTACTTAGTTTTTCTTTCATTTATTTTGCAACTGCTTTCTTTTTGCAAAAAAAAAAAAAAAAAATTTCTTTTTTTCTAATAATAAGTGCTTTTTTTATGTTTTTAATTTTCTTTTTTTGATTTTTATTCTTTGTAAAGTAACTTAAGAGAAGTGATCAGTTGAAAAATATGCATCATCATTGTTTTCCTGCTTTTAAAATTTTAAAATTGACAGCGTTTAATAATAAGCATCAATTAAAGTTTTTTTACTTTGAATAGATGTCAGTGATATATTTCTGCAAAAAAAAGTGATATATTTCAAGTGGAATAGAGATTAACCAGAAATCAAACTATTTGTAGTTAATGTTGTACGGGGTGATGATAATGTTTGGGGAACAGATGTTCCACTTCATATTTGCAACAACCAATCTGTAATTGCTAATTGTTTGTAGCAGAAACAAAAACCACTAACTTTTACACTTCAAAGTTTATTTTTTTTTTCTCTTTTTATCTGTTTGTTTCTCTTTTTTTTTCTTCTTTGTTTTGATTAACCGTCACTCAGTAATCATCGATAATTCTTCCACAAATAGTTGTTATTTACGGTGTTGCATTTAAAGATCATTGATGAAAATTTGATGACAGTTATATAAAGTTGAAAGAAATATGTATAGATGTCATTTATCAAATAATAAATAAGATTTAAGAGATTTTTTTGTAGATTTTTGTTGCTGTCGTTTTTGTTATTTATATCGGTTTATATGTTATCCTTCAGTTCAATTAATGAATAAAACAAAATTTTTACAAAAGAACAGAAACTTAAATCTCATTTTTTTTTTTTTTTTTTGCTTTCAGTTCTTTCTTTTCTTCTTCTCTGTTCTCTCGTTTTCTAATTTATACAACAAAATCAAAGATGCAAATTATGAGTGACAAATACAGTGTAAACACTTCATACATCAACCAACTTAAATGACAAACAACCAGAAACTTTCAGAAAATCAAACAAACAGCAGTTATTTTTTTTTTTTTTTTTTGGGTTTAGTTTGGTTTGGTTTTTACGCAAAAAGATTTTATCAATGGCTGCATTCGTTTCCAATTTTCTAGCAAAAAAAAAAAAGACTTTGAGCGGACTTTAAAAAGTCACTTAAAATAAAAATGACTAAATTGATGACAATAAGTTTTTTGGTGAAAGCCTATTAATTTCTAAGAAGTGGCATACTTTTGCATTTAAAGCTGAAAATGGTAACGTTATTTTCTGATGTTTATTGCAGTTTTTTTTTCTGGTTTTTTTTCGTCTAGATGCTCTATTAAGCTTATTAGGCGCACATTTTTTTTCCTCAAATTTATTCTTTTTCACTGATCATTACTCTCTTCACTGCTGTGATAGTCAACTAAAAAGTTAAACTTAATTTTCTTCTGCTTTTTAAACAGATTTTTTTTCTCAGTTTACAGTTCAACATACTTTACACTTCCTGTTTTGTCAACGTTTTTCAACCGAGCTTGAAAGGCAGATATTGTGCACGTAATTCGTTTCTTTTTCATTGATTCTGTTGTTTGTTTTGTATTTCAAAAACAGTCAGAAATAAACTGGCACTAGTGCTTGTTCTCGTAAATTGAAGACAAGTGTCTTCGCTCTTGCCCTACTGATTACCAAATTATCACTTGATACAGCTTAGGGAATACCACAGATGCCTATATATTGTTGTTGGAGATGTTAAAATGGACGACCAACATACGTATAATAATAGAACCTACGGCTGATGTTACTATTTGTGATGTTTGATACAGTGAGACAAGCGAACAGTCTAATTGCATGCGTTCACTAAGGTACAGTCTAACAAACTAACTAACTAAATAACTAATCAATGTTTAAGATTTTTCAAAGAATCTTTCTTTTTTGGTTTAAGACATAAAAACCAAACTGTTTTCTTCACTAATTTCTGTTTTCAATAATTTTTTTTTCGTTTGTTCTGCTTTTGAATGCTCAGGTTGCTGTGTTAAAACAAATTTTGATATTCTGATACATGTAACAAGCAAAATAATCTACTAACAATGCTAAAAAAATAAACCATTTTCTTACCAAACCATCTTTTTTTTTTTTGTGCTGTTTTTTGTTGTTGTTAAGTTTTTTTTGCCTTTTTGTTAATTCATGCAGAAATAAGGCACTGAACTGTAATACAAAATTCTTAGTTTTCGAACTTCTTCGCATAAGCACCACAGAGATGTATGTTACTGTTGTCGCTTTTTTCTTGTCCTTTTTTTTTAACGAATTTTCGTATAACCATAAACACATTTTAAATAGTAAATTTTTTTCAAGAACTTAAGCTACCAGAAAGCGACAGTTATCATAAATAAACAAGAAAATTCTTTTCAAAATATGCTTAATCTTCTCAATTCTAATTAGAATTTTCATTTTAATACGACAGTAAAGTTATAGTTTTTTGCGACGATTATTGTTTACAAAGAGTAAAAAAACAGCTTTTTTTTTAATTTTAACCAAATGTTTTCCTGGTTATACTTAGAAGAGACCAGTAAAACACTTAAACCTAACCTATTAAATTGACAGGAAATAAAAGTAGTGAATTATTTTATGCCGATTATTCCTAATCTTTTTTTTTTTTTCAATTACTTTTGCACCTTCTTCTGGTTTTTTATAGGAAACAGGTCAATGAATGAATCTTCAAATAACACTCCTTCTAATTTTACTCCAGCTGGCCTTACACCGTTTGAGGAAGCTTTCTATCTGGGTACCGGCTTTACTGGATTTGCCTTCAATGCTTTGGTGCTGTTTATTGCCTATATGCGTATCGATACGCACGATAAACCTCGTCAGGTTAGTCAGTTTTCAGATCTGATTCAGTAATAGTAGATTCTGCGGTTTTTGTTTTTTACAGTTTCACAGTACTTTATTGCAATTAATATTTAGTTTGATGCTTTCTTTTTTTTTAAAAAAAATAAAAACTGAATAGGTCAAAGAAATTACATATTTGCAAATTCACTATCCACTTTTTTCAAAGACTCAACATTTTTTTTTTTTGCTTTGAAACTTTGTTTTTGTCTTACCTACTCTTAAAGTATGATTATTCAGAATATTAGGCAAAAAAAAAAATCACTTTTTTATTTTTGTAGCAAATTTTCGATTGTTAGAGGGAAAGAAGAAGGATTGGCAGAAAAAAGAGTACCAAGTCGTGTAATTGTTGCGCTTTTCTTTTTTTTCAGCTGCTTCACCATTCTTCTTCCTCTCCTTGTAAATCCAAAAAAATCTACTTCCGCTTAATGAAAATGAAGTCAATCTAAAAATTTGAATAAAAAAAAGAAAAGAGAAAAAAGGAACAAACTGTTGTCTTCTAACAAAAAGCCTTAACCGTTACCACCTGCAAATTATTCTTTTGTTTATATTTTTCGTTTATATCTGACTTTATTTCTTTTTGTTTTGTTTTGTTTTTGCAGTATAACTGACAACTACGAAAAGTTTGGTTTTGTTATTGATGAAAAGAAAACGTCACACTTTTTTGATAATTGATCAAGCTTTTCCTCTTTTTTTCTTTTGTTTTTTGTGTTTGTTAGTCGTTTTAAACTTAATCAACAGACTTTTTTCACGGTACTTTTGTTTCATGAAGAAAAAAACTGTCAAAGTAGATGCGTCTATTAAACGAAAAAAAAAGAGCAGGAGGAGGAGGAGGAGGAGGAGGAGGAGGAGGAAGAAGAGGAAAAAGTAAACTGTTTTTTTTTTATCTTTTTTTTTCGTGGATATTTGAAACATTAATGTTTTCACTTGTGAAATCATTTGTTTTATTCCAATCAATAATTGGAGCAACAAAATAATCGTTAAAAGCCCAACATTTTTTCTCTAGTTGCTATGTTCCGAAATATCACTTTAATTAGTTAAACATTCTTTGCATTAAAATAATACACTGATAGCTGTTACATACACTGTAACGTTTTAGTTATTCTCAAAAGCTCAAAAGACAGGAAGTAGAGGATTGGATGAAGGAAGGTGAGGAGAGTAAGAGGAGAAGAAGAAGGAAGGGATAAAGTAATGTGGGATAGTCGGAAAATGTGAGAAAATGAGAAAAAAAATAACAGCTCTTTTTCTGTTTTTAAATTCTTCTGCTTTTTCTTCTTTTCAAAAAATTCTTCTTGTCTTTATTGTTAATTTCTTTCAAGCAGAAATCTGATTTTTTACACCTCATTAAACATATCTATAAAGTAATACTACTGATTGACAAAAAAGCTTAAAACTTGTTGTTTTAGCTAATTGTTATCAATATGACAGCTGCAGATTTGATGATGTGTTTAGTATATATGGCAACACGACCATATTTGCAGTATTTTCCGTCTTATTTATGCTATCCATATTATGTGATTATTTGCTCTTCACAACTCAGCAGTTGCTTTAACTTATTATGGTTTTTTCCTTTTATTTACTTCATATTCTTCAATTGTTTGAATATCAAATATCTGATCCCAATAATCTCAGAATACTTTAATTTTTCACTACTTTTTTTTTTTCAAAATTTAATTATTATTTTAAAAAAGTGATAGTAAAAAAGATTAGAAAAATTGAATGAAATTGCAAAAGTAATACATGTGTGCTGTTTTTGGTTAAAGAACAAAAAAACTAGACAACAAAGTTGATAGAATAATATAAGCAGAAATGATGACTGAATTAAGGATTAAAGACATTTTTTTATCTATAAAGATTTTTTTAAACAAAAGTTGTAGTTACACACTGAATGCATAAACAATTGGTTTTTTTTTTTCAATATTCCATAGGTCAACTTATTCCCTTAATTGGTTCAACTAAAGCACTTAGGTTGATTAGTTAGTGAGCTTATTGACATTGATGAGCATTCGAAGAAGAAAGGAGAAATCAAAAACACTATTGAACAAGAATAAAAGAAGACAAAAAAAACAGCCATAAAGAGCAGCAAAAAAAAACGACAGTTTAACTGCTTTTCAACAATAAAATCGATGTCGTGCAAACGTCGTCCTAGGATAAACTAGTGAAAAATCTTCTTAAAAACAAAAAGAACATTGTTTATGAAACTGATTCTTTCCTAAAATATATTACTTTTTGACTCAAGAATGGTCTATAGTCTTAAAAATTTAATCTACCACATAAATAAATCTCTACAATCAGGTCAGTGTGATTTTGTTCAACTGAACCAGCAAAATAGATACAAGAAAAAAATTGAATTAAGAAGTGATTTCAAATTGTGGTATTTAAAACAAAAAAAAGATACTTCTCAAAAAAGATAATTATTCATAAATATTATAATAAAAACACTGTAATCTATACGTGTATTAAGGCTAAATCTCGACAAGCTTATATTTGTACAGTTTCCGTTACATTACTACTCATTTGTTACACATGTTCGTTTGATGGTGCTAACGCTGATGACTTGGCTTATCATAGGTGGATTCACGCTAATCGGCTATTCATCACTGCGATACGTCGATGATAGCAACGTTTGTTGCACTCCGTTCTTCTTCCCCTACTTCTTAACTGCTTTTCTAATCTTAGTTTTTTTCAACTTTTTTCTTCGACCACATTTATTTGGGCATTTGGGTATTAACGTAATCAATGTGGTACTTCTTTGACTTTTTTATTACTGTTAGCTAAGCTCAACGATTGTGATTGTTCAGTTCAATGTGGTCGTCAAAAGTAGAAAATTAAAACTGCAGTAGTTTCTATTATTTTTTAGTCTAATTGTTTAAAATTACAAAAAACTCTTCTTAACAACATTTTAAAAAAACTTTTTTTTTGGTTTTATCAGTGTTTAAGTTTAAATAATTTTTGCCACCAACGAGCTTTCTAGTTGCTTGGCTTTACTACCATATTTGGGCTTAAAATTTGCCGGCATTTAAACAGATCTTTGATATACCAATTAGCAATATTAATTTAAAATCAGAAAGTTAAACAAAATCTTTATGCTTTAGAAAACTTCTTTTTGTTAATTAGGATGACTAATACTTTCATTTTGGTAATAATGTAAAAGTTAAATAAAAAATAGAAGAAAATCAGTTTTAAAAGATGCACAATTAAATAATCTTGCAGATAATCATTTTGCTCCTTCCTTCTTTCATTTTTTCAGCGACGATGTGATATGGTTTTCGTAGGAAAAGCATTTTTTGTCTCAATTATGATTTCATATGTACTAATTTTGGTCTGCTCTTTTATCACATCAGTTATCATATTTACAATTGCTCGTAGAACTAGTCGACTGGAAAAAGATTCACATTCTGTAAGTTTTACTCCTTTATACACTTAACTAATTCACAGTTTCTTGTCTTCGCTGCTACAGTTGAATCTGTCTTTTCTTAGCAAATAATTGCTTTGAAGAGAGTGACGGTTAAAAAAAGTGAATGACTTATCTGTTTCAATTAAATTGATCGCGTTTGTTGTACATAAAACTCTGAAAGTTTGAAATCCTTTCTTTGTTCGAACCGAACAGTGAAAACTGTACAAAAATTTTGTAGCTCTAAAGAGGCTTACAAGAGCTGATATAAAGCTTTACAATACTAAAAGGTAAGATCATGAACAACTGTAAGATTTATTTATCTAGACCCACTCCAAACAACAGAAAATACTTAACACTTTAGACCAACTTAGTTTTTCAGACTTAATTGCATATATACAAGCATTTTTTATCACTTTTAATCAGCAGACAGTGTTTGCACTGTCCTAGAAACCAGAAAAAAACCAACAAGCAATTAACACTTAATCTCTTCTTATTTTAGGTTGTATTATTTGAATTTTTGTGTGTGTTTTTCTTTTCAGAAGATCTTTCGACAGCTATTTTTCTTGTTTAGCAGTACATTATGGACATTTTTTACGTGTCTTCCATATCGAGCATTATATCTGTACGCATACTTTGAAGATGTTGTTTCGTTTGCACCTCGTCCGCCAGACGACTTTTTCTATGTGCTTGTAGATCTCTTCTTCCGAATTCTGGTTCTTGGAATGGTTGGCTGTTTTTTTTTCTTCAAATAATAATTGATAATTACTAAATGCTCTTCTCTTTCTTCTAGTATTTGAGCTATAGGGCATCACAGTAAATGTATGCGAAAGAAAAGTTGAGATTATATTTTTTGTATTTTGAAGTTGTCTCTAAAAAGAAATTTAGTTATATAATTTCGTGATGCTTAATTTTTTTTAAAGGAAAAAATAGCGTAAACTAAAATGAACGACAAAAAACGTAAAAGTGATTGACGTGGAATTGTTTAGGTGATTAATCCACTGATTACAATACTGACACAACGGATTTATCGGGTTCAGTTGATGCACTATCTGCAGGTAATCTTCTGTCGTCAGGCAGCAACCAAAAATGGCATCGATTATTCGGTGAACGCCAATGATGCCTATATCCGCCGTCCGTCAACCCGGAATAAGAGTATGGCTGAGTGCCGAACACTTACTGATAATACTGCTGAGCTTTAGCTGCTGTTCTGTTTCTTTTTTTTTTTAATTTTGTTTTTTTCAATGTTTGTTTTGATTGATTCTTTCTTCTTGTTTCGCCTGTTCATCCTTGATTATTTACTCAAAATACTCGTCATTTATCAAAATTATTGACACAGTTATTGCCGCAATGAAAAAGTGCAAAAAAACTGGTATAAATTTTATTACAACTGATCGTTTTTTTTTTTGCTTTCTACTTATTTTGTCTTTGATTTGGTATCTCAAACATAAAATTCCTCCTGCTTTTTGTTTTTCTTCTGTAATTGGAAACTATTGACATTCCTTGACTTCTGTTTAGTTTTCTGTCGTCATCATCACAACAACACTCTCAAGCGCACATATATATTTGTATATATACAAATAAATAACACATTGAAACACCTAATAATAAGTTGCATTTGTGCATTATTTTAACTAATAACAAACAGTGATAATAATATTAATAATAACATCAGTAACAAAGATATTAATAGTACTAAAGAAAATAATAATAATAATAACAATGATAGTAATGAACATAATAATAATGATAGTACAATGGTAATGATAAGAATAATAATAATGATAGAAGTAATAATAGTAATAGTAATAATAATAGTAATA